TTTTTCTTCTAAGACAAAAAGCTTGATTTAAATCTTGAAATGTGATGTGAACATTTGACAATTGCCAAGGGTGAGGACAAGGAGCAGAAAATATTTTACCTTCACACAGAACTGAAAAAACAGTACTGCTCTTAATTTTATAATGCATTACAGGGCTGCAAACGAATCGAGCTGTTCGCGAGCGCTTGAGTCAAAAAGCTCGGCTCGAGCTCGAGTTTGACCGAACTCGAGTCGAGCTCGAGCGGCTCGAGAATGTTGTCGAGCCGATCTCGAGCATAGGTTTTGGAAGGTCGAGCGGCACGAGAAATTTAATGAATTACTGAAATACTCCTTATTTATAAACATTACAATGTTAGTACATGGTAATTTTACTTGAAACTCGAGTCGAACTCGAGCCGAGCTCGAGCAGGTAAAAAAAAAAAATCAATCTTGCTCGACAAGGTCAATACTCAGACTTGACTCGCATCGTTTGCAACCCTAGCAATACCCTTCAAAATTTTTATTTTCCAGTACAAATAACCATCAAGATGGAACCGTTCTTTTTTTTTTAATAATAAATGATCTCAATATATAAGCATGTCTTTTTGTTTTGTTCCATGTGAAAGTAGCTGGAAGCAACTGAGAAATAACACAGCAAAGTCAAGGGTGCATAAATTCAAAGCAAATCCAAAACAAATCAAAAGGGACCCCAATAAAACAAGTGAAGATCATATAAAAAAGTTAGCTTTACTAAAAAACTCAAACACACACACACAAACAAACACACATTCGTTTAGATCCATCAAAATGGAAGCATCCCAAGTAAAGGTGTACGGCAATTGGGCTAGCGCCTATGTGTACAGAGTGACATGGGCACTCAAGATGAAGAACATAGAGTACGAGTACATAGAAGAGGACCTGTCCAATAAGAGCCCGTCCCTTTTGGAGTACAACCCGGTTCACAAGAAGGTGCCGGTCCTCGTCCACGGCGGGCGGCCGGTGGCCGAGTCGGACGTCATACTGGAGTACATTGAGGAGGCGTGGCCCGATCGTGAGCCCGCTTTACTTCCGGCGGATCCTTACGAGAGGGCCACCGCGCGATTTTGGATCGATTTTGGCCGACAAAAGGTATAATGAAACAACACTCCTTTCACTTTTTAATTTCATTCTGTTTCGATAGAGTTCGTTCGTATATTGCTTTTAATTGATTGATTTTATTTATTTATTTATTTTAGCAATTTAATGTAGGTTTTATTTATTTATTTATTTATTTTGGTAAATTAAAGCATCCATCAAGAACGGAGAATTACAACTTTTAAAATCATGTTTTTTTTTTTTTTTTTTTTTTTTTTTTT